CACTTTGGATTCCATCAGTACATCCAGCATTCTTTAACTTTTATTTTCACAGGATGAATCATAATCACCACAAAAGGTGATATATCTAAATTCACTTTTCAATAATACAATTTATCACTGTTTCAATGTTGTACTATACAACATATCTCCCAATCCAATCTAGAAATAAAGTTAGAGGACATTTTGAAACAACTGTTCTCCTCTGCTTCTGAACTGGCTGTTAAAGGCTGCATTTTTTGAAATATAGCTGCAAACAAATCTGAGATAATTAATTTTTAAAAAAAAGGAATATAGTAGCAATGATGAACAGCAATAACAACATAAATAAAACATTTTCAGAAAACTGCAGACTCACTATATTGATTTTTATGATGGAGCAGAAATTATTCTGTAATTGATAACTAGGAAAGCTGCTTACATTGCAGGAGCGTCTGAAATTATTTATGCTGCAGCCATTAGTCAATACCCTGTGCCTTGAAACACAGAACATTAATCAATTCCCATTCAGACTCCAATGGTTGGAAAAGTCCTCACCTCAAAGGGAGGCAGAATAAATGGCTAATAACTCATAAATCAGGAATTAGGGATAAGCTTGTTCAGACATTTGCTTGAATTCCATCGTAACTCACTTAACAATAAGAGCTACATTTTTAAAAAAAAGAGGAAGTTGAAACAAAAGAAAAAAAACATACACAATGATTGTAGACTTTTTTTCCCGGTCACTTGGTTTCATAGACTGAGGGTGTACTAGTTATATATCTGTGAAGCATCAGTACTGAACATATATTTTGACACATTTTTCAATGAAGTTACTTTTCTTAACCACTGTGGTAACTATCGATCACAGTGCTGGCTTAACACTTGGTTATGGATAGGCTTTGAGCAGTCAATGAGCCACTCTCTTGAACGCACCAGCCTCTGACCTGGTATTGTGATCGTAGTATTGAAATGGCTATTCCAGCTCAAACTCTGGTCGACTATGTAATTTGTGGATGTAAACTCAGCAATAGTGTTGTCTCAAAAGTGTAGGAGAACATAGCTAGCCTTTTCCCTTTTCAAGATCGCATCAACTGCCATTTACATAGCATAAATATGATTTGCTACTTATCAGACCAAACTGAATGTGAAGCATTACTCAAGGTAAATGAAAGTTCTCCTTTTGACCCACGGTGACCAGTTTTGTTGTGGCTCTTTGGTGCATTAACTTGGGTTGGATACTCCCAGTGACATCAAAGGCAACTACTTTTTCTCACCTCTAGTATCCAACTAATGCCTATGTCTACATTCAGGCTGTAATGAGACCTGGTTAAACATAGAAACACAGAAGATAGGAGCAAGAGGCCATTCGGCCCTTTGAGCCTGCTCTGCGATTTATCATGATCATGGCTGATCATCCAACTCAATAGCCGAATTCTGCTTTCTCCCCGTAACCTTCGACCCCATTCACCCCAAGTGTTATATCAAGCCACCTCTTGAATACATTCAATGTTTTGGCATCAACTACTTCCTGTGGCAATGAATTTCACAGGCTCACCACTCTTTGGGTGAAGAAATGTCTCCTCATCTCCGTCCTAAATGGTCCACCCTGAATCCTCAGACTGTAGCCCCTGATTCTGGACACATCCACCATCGGGAACATCCTCCCTGCATCTATCCTGTCCAGTCCTGTTAGAATTTTGTAAGTCTCTATGAGATCCCCCCTCATTCATCTGAACTCCAGTGAAAACAATCCTAACCTAGTCAAATCTCTCCTCATACGTCAGTCCTGCCATCCCCAGAATCAGCCTGGTAAACCTTCGCTGCACTCCCTCAGCAGCAAGAGCATCCTTCCTCCAAAGAGGAGACCAAAACTGCTCACAATATTCTAGGTGTGGTCTCACCTCTATAACTGCTACAACACATCGCTGCTCCTGTACTCGAAACCTCTCGCAATGAAGGCCAACATATCATTTGCCTTCTTTACCCCTGCTGCACCTGCATACTTCCCTTCAGCAACTGGTGCACAAGGACACCCAGGTCTCACTGCACACTCCCCTCTCCCAATTTACAGCCAATCAGGTATTAATCTGCCTTCTTGATTTTGCTTCCAAAGTGAATAACCTCACATTTATCCAAATTATACGGCATCTACCATTGATTTGCCCACTCACCCAACCTGTCAAGATCATGCTAAAGGATCTCTGCATCCTCGTCACAGTTCACCCTCCCATCCAACCTGGTATCATCTGCAATCTTGGAGACATTACATTTTGTTCCCTCATCCAAATCATTAATATATATTGTGAATAGTTGAGGTCCCAGCACTGATCCCTATGGCACCCCACTAGTTACTGCCTCTCAATTTGAAAAGGACCCATTAATTCCTACTCTTTGTTTCCTCTCTGCCAGTCAGTTTTCTATCCATCTCAATACATTTCCCCCACTCCCATGCACTTCAATCTTGCACAATAATCTCTTATCCGGGACTTTGTCAAATGCTTTCTTAAAGTCCAAATATATCACACTGACTGGCAGCCTTTTGTCAATTCTACTAGTTACATCTTCATAGAATTCCAACAGATTTGTCAAGCATGATTTCCCCTTCATTAAGCCATGCTGACTGTTTGATCCTGCTTTCTAAATGCTCCGCTATAGAGTCCTTGATCTTGGATTCGAGAATTTTCTCCACTACCGATGTTAGGCTTACTGGTCTATAATTCCCTGTTTTCTTCCTTTTTGAATATTGAAGTGACAATAGCTACTCCCCAGTCTGCAGGGACTGTTCCAGAGTCTATAGAATCATGGAAGATGACCACTAATGCATCCACTATTTCAAGAGCTACTTCCTTAAGTACCCTGGGATGTAGATTATCAGGCCGTGGAGATTCATCCACCTTCAATCCCATCAATTTTCCCAACACCATTTCTCCACTAATATTGATCTCTCAATTCTTCCCTCTAAATCTTGCATTCTCCAACATTTCTGGTTCTGATTTGTGTCCTATTTTGTGAAGACAGAACCAAAGTATGTATTCAGTTGCTCAGCCATTTCTTTGTCCCCGATCATACATTCCCCCATTTCTGTCTATAGGGGACGTACATTTGCCTTCACCAATCTCTTTCTCTTCACATACTTATAAACTCTTAGCGTCAGTCTTTACGTTCCCTGCAAGTTTACTTTTGTACTGTATTTTCCCCTTCTTAATTAATCCCTTGGTCCTTCTTTGCTGAATTCTAAACTGCTGCCAATCCTCAGACATATTATTTTTCTTGGCCAATCTGTATGCTTCTTCCTTGGATTGGATTGGATACTCTAATTTCCTTTGTAAACCATAGATTGGCTCTCTTACCCATTTTGCTTTTGCTACAGCCGGGAATAAACAGTTGTTGCAGTTCCCTCGTGCGTTCCTTGAATGTTTGCCATTGCCTATCCACTGTCATCCCTTTAAGTAACTCTTCCCCGATCTATCAAGCTCCGCTCACACCTCATATCTTCATAGTTTCCTTTAAGATTCAGCACCCTAGTCTCCAAATCAAATACCTCACTCTCCATCTTGATTCTATCATGTTATGGTCGCTCTTCCCCAAAGAGTCTTGCACAGCTGTTTGCATTGACCAGTCTTTTCAGAATCCATGCAATATGCAATCCCATGTGCCTGTGAGGTTACAGGTTGTACAGTCTGCTTCAGTGAACTGGCCAGTTACATCTCATTTATCTTTCTAATTAATCCCTGAACTGTGTGTTTGTCTGTCTTTGTGAAAGTGGGGGCAAGAGTCAAAGAAAATGGGTTTAAATTATAGACAATGAGATAACTTTTTTTTAAAACCCTGCTGAAGCTACTGTGTTATTAATAAATTGTTAATTCTTTTGTTTAAGCTATAAACTTGGTGTCTGAAATAACTGCACAGAGGCCGGTATCCCGTCACCAAGTCACCCTTCATTTACTTGTGCACAGTACACTGGCCAGCTCAGAGTCAGTCCCTTGAACTGAGGATATTCTAAATCTCCCATTTATTTGGGTCATCCAGGGCTTACTGATCGGCCCAGGTTAACAACTCCAAGCTAGGATCTTGTTGTCAACAAGGTCCACCTGGCTCCAATCACTACACATCTGATATCAGTTACTCGTAAAGTCTGAATTTTGGTTATTTAAAAAGTCTGATTCGGAATCATTGGCACAATTCTGACGGTCATTGAATATTTTAGTTTTACTGCATTGCAAATATAGGGATACGGAGACTTTTCTGATTTGGCCATCTGTGTTCCTGTCCAACAATAGATATGGAGAAGACATAAACATTGATGTAGACAAATTAAGGAGTCTGGCTGAAATTCTGAGTATAACAATATCAAGGAATAAATGCAAAGTTTTTTTTCCTCTTCAAATGTGTAACATTTACCAAATGTTCAACACATGAGTGTTGAATGGTCAATGACAATTAACAGCTCATTGTTACGCGAGGAAAATGGTGCAAAACAATTACAAATTTACTGCACAACATTACATTTGTCATACAATGATACAAAATTGAAATGACTGAAAAGTTTATTTATATGATTAATATTGCATGACGGGCTCTAAAAAATATTGAGGCTAAACCATCAATAGCATAAGGAACCAGGGTTAAAGTCTACTGTGTTTAAAGTCTCATCAGAACATTTCTCAATAGCAAAAAAGCCAACAAAACTACACGATTTTATCTTGAAATTGTATCCAACCACTCTGCAGAAAAATGTGGGTTAAAACTTTATTCAGCAGATTATATGGGGAGAAGAGCAGGGACAATCTTACAGAATTCTTCACCAACAGAAGTCCTTCTTTAAAAATATGCCATCTTAGTTGCCATAGTGCACACCCTAATGGCTTGTTCTCAAATTATGTTAGTTGGTTGATGATAGGGCCAGTATACAGAATCTACCCACAACCTAAAGAATTGTACATTGCATAAGGGAAGATAAAGAAAAATTGAAGTTGGAAAATAAACATGCCTTCATAATTTACATTTATTTAAATACTTACAGTAGGTTTTCCTTGTCAGCTCCTCCACAACGTCTGGTTTCAGCTTGCTGTTGGACTTCCCCATTGCAGCAACTTAACACATGAGAAATTGGATTTTGGAAGAGTATATTAAAGTTTGAAGAAATCAAAGCTTCAAACAAGTCAGAAATATTAATGGTGAACTTGAGTTAGTTCTTGAAATGAAATATTCTCAGGATGCCTCCTGCGTTCTCTCTGCGTAATGTTGCACAGCTGTGGTTTCCTTGGTGATGGTTTAATAATGGCCTGTTTGTCACTCCACCACAGGCTTGATAAGCAGCCCAAACACTGAATGTCAAAATTCACTCTCTTTTTTTTCTTTTCTTCAAAATCACACGCACAGAAGCTTTTCTTTGGTGTGAAATTTTGAATAGTCACTACCCCCGTTGAAACGATGGGCTGCTTAATTGAATCTCGATGGGAGATGGATGATGTTTTCAGCTTTCCTTTGGTATGAAGAGTTGATAATCACTGACCCCGGCTTCAATGACAGTTGCTCAATTTAGCCACAATGGGAGATGTGTGGTGTTTACAGTATTTCTTTGTCTTTTATATCGTCTGAATTGAGGCAATTTAAAGAGTTGTTTTATTCTGTTCTAATTTTAGAAACTGATGATGCAGTTTAAACAGTTCAAGCGTGATTACAACATTACTGAACTGCATATGGTCAACTCTCTCAAAGCACTGATGTCCTGGATTAGTTTGTGCAGCAGTTAATTAATGCTACAATCCTTGGAATCCTGCAAGAGACAAAACAGTACAGGTATTGTACACAATGATAGATATCCAGATCTCAAGAATATGTCAAATTTATCTTTATTGCAACTGAGACACTCCCAAAGCTAAGCAAATAATTATGCAAACTAAGCCACACTGCACTAATAATGGTTCAATGAAATAAAGCAGTGATCAGCTGAGCTGTACAGATCTCAAAGGACCCATGTTTGATTTTCAAACTGTACTGAATTTGCTAATCTCAGCTGGAGTATCAGTGAGGTGCTGCCAATTAATCCCAGAACCACAGTTTTAGGAATGGGATAAACAGACTAAATTTTTTACTCCAGATTCCAGATGGAAGAATACAAATTTGGATACTGGATGTGGCTACAAGTGAATTCAGTAGTGGTGCACATGATGAAGCGTAAACAAATGTTCACCAACAAAACTGATATGATGGTAAATCAGAGCAGTGCCATTGGTATCCAGTAATTACATAATTGCCAGTTGTTGGAATCAGAGTTTTACAGCACAGAAAGAGGCCTTTCAGTACATCATGTCTGCAACGGTCATCAAGCACCTACCTACTCAAGAGTATTTTTCTGGGAACATACAAAAGCATCTATTGGCATTCGAAGATAAAAAGATTAATGAAGACGAATACAAAGTCCCCTACAGTCAGAAACAAGGCAAGTACTTATCCACTTGGCTTTTAAATGTTGTAACTGTACCTGCATCTACCACTTCCTCTGGCAATTCAGTCCACATAAAAACCACCCCGTGCATTAAGAAGTTGCCCCTCAGGTCACTTTTAAACTTTTCCCATCTCATCTTAAAAATATACCCCCTAGTTTTGAACTCACCCACCTTAGGAAAAAGACCTTTGCTCTTCACCTTATCTATGCCCCTCATGATTTTATAAACATCACTCAAGTCACCCCTCAACCTCCAAGCTCCAATGAGAAACGTCTCAGCCTATCCAGCCTATTTTATAACTCAAACCCTCCATTCCCAGCAACTTCGTGGTAAGTCTTTTCTGAACTTTCTCCAGTTTAATAATATCCTTCCTAACACAGGGTGACCAGAACCGCACACAGCATTTCAGAAGAGGCCTCACCAATATCCTGTATATCCTCAAATTGACATCCCAACTCCTATACTCAATGGTCTGAATAATGAAGGCAAGCATGCTAAACGCCTTCTTGACCATCCTGTCTACCAGTATGCTATGGTACCTCAAATGACGTAAACAGTTCTTCAAAGTTGTGACGGTCACCACGTCTACCATTCTTTCAGGCAAAGAGTTCCAGATATCTGCAACCCTTTGGGTAAAAAAAAAAATCATCCTTTAATCCGTTCGACAACTCCTGCCATTTACCTTAAATTTAAGTCTATTCCTTCAAAGTGAGCAGTTTCTCCCGAACTACTCTACCTGCTTCATGATTGAGCACCTCTATCACATTTCTTCTTACTCATGTGCTTCCTAAAGAGTGGTGCCCAGAATTGGTCACAATACTCCAAATTGAGACTGAAACAGTGTTTTTGAAAAGTCCTCCAAACCTTCCTTGCTTTTGTAATCAGCTTTTATAAAGCCCAGGATCCCAAATGCCTTAGTAGCCTTCCTCAACCAGCCTTGCCATCTTCAACAACTTGTGCACGTATACCTGCAGGCCCCTCTTCTCCTGCACCCCTTTTAGGATTACATCATTTCATGTTTTATTATATCTCCTCATTGTTCCTATCAAATATATCACATTAAATGCAAACTAATGTTTTTATCATCCATTTTTTTCCCCTGAAGGTTGCAAGATATCTCCATGGAGAGAAGCGGGGAAATGGGAATTAATACAACTAGTTACAGAGAGGCAACAACAGACCTCTTTTTTGAAGATCATGTTGGATGGGTAGATCATTTGGTTGCTAACTACTTAAAAGAAAAATGCATTACAGGTACACATGATGTTTATCCTTCATGATTTATTTAAGAAACAAGAAAAACTAAATTTAACCCCTGGTATGTATCGAGTGAAGTAATCTTAGCTATACAGAGGATACAACAATTAGCTTGTTGTTGTTGGACTAGGGTGAAAATGGAAACAACAATCTAATAAAACAGATAACTGAAAGAAAGAGGGATTTAGAATGTGCTGTAGCCAACCAGTCACGATGGCAGGGTGTAAAATAGCATGTTGGAGAAGTCTATGGAGGAAATTCCTCAGGTATGGTCAAGACATTAACTTTATGAGTTACACAGAATGGAAATTAAACTGTGGCAGGACCCAAAGTCAGAGAACTGTATGTGAAAAGAGGCAGTTGATATCAGATGGGTTGAGAGCCTGGAAAAGGGACAAGGATCTCAAATGTTCTACATTTAGGAAACTCAGAATCAAATGAAAATGATGGCAATAAATTAATGAAACTTAGAGTAGTACAGAGTGTGGCCATGAAGTTGAATAATCCTTCACAATGTCATGTCAAAAGTACAAATATTGGTTAAGGCAAAGTCATGCTGAAATGAAAGGGGCAATAGCATGAAATGAAGGCAGGCAATATTGCAAAGCTGGAGCATCCTGCCTTGACATTCGATAAAATATGGGTTTATAGTCAACTTAGAGTCAAATGTTCTATTCAACCACCAACCTCAGACGCTAAAAGAATTAAACTGCACAATCTAATTACCGATCTTCAATATAGCTTGTTTTGTACAAAGCAGAATTTGCAATACAGCATTTGGCTTATCACAATCAACATTGAAAAAACATTTGGCAGTTTCTCAAACTTCCGCTGTTTTTCCTCCAATTTTCTCACCCATCTCTAGGTATTGATCCCTCACACCATGCCATGGAAACATGGACAGAGTTTCCCTACCATATTTTTTTTTATTCATTCACAGGATGAGGGCTTCACTGGCTAGGGCAGCATTTATTACTCATTCCTAATTGTCCAGAGGACAGTTAAGAGTCAACCACTTGCTGTGGGTCTGGAGTCACTTGTAGGCCAGACCAGGTAAGAATGGCAGTTTCCATTCTTAAAAGGACATTAGTGAATCGGTTGTGTCTTTCCTGACAATTGACAATGGTTTCATAGCCAGCATCTTAATTCCAGATTTTTTTTAAATTGAATTGAAATTCCACCATCCACTACGGCAGGATTCAAACCCGAGTCCCCAGAACATTACCTGGGTCTCTGGATCAACAACGTAGCAATAACACCACTATGCTATCACCATCCCAATATTCTGCATAAGGAGTTCTGGCTGGCTAACTGACTGCAGGGAACACTTCACAACTTCAATGATTCCAGGTCTTAACCAGCATTTACCAATTTCCATTAGGACTTGTATAGTTTTCAGGAATGATCAGTTCTCTTTTCTATAACTAATAATTCACTCAATCAGTGAAGTTCTGAGTGCTTATGACTGTTGGAATCAAGATTTATCTTAGACCCACCCAAATTACTTTTCAATAAAATGTACCTACATATAAAATGGATAATGTACTCAGAGGTTTCACAACAAAGTGCAAGCAGATACCTTTTCACACTTCTCAGCAAGCCTCTGATCTTTTCCACACATACCCAAATTGCAAAGCCTGCAGCATACTCACTCTAGCACTTCAACACATTCACTGTAAACAGTAGAATATGAAAGCATTATACATACTGCAGAGACCCCTAGAGTGAGCACATAAATGTTACACCAATTTTAACTTCTGGGATTTCCCTTTATGGTGTTGCAGATTTCAAACCTGCTTTTAAGACCATTGATCATGTAAAAGAATAGAACTTTCAGCCAATTCACACTACGTTTGAGAATTCTTAATTTGTAACATTTTTCATAAGCTTTGCATTAATGTCAAAAGTTTACTATAATAATCCTTGCATTAATATCTATGAATACATGACTACTTAAACTCACTGCAATGCATTTGAAAACAATATTTCCAAAATTGCATGCCAGACATTTTGCTATGTAGCACTATTGATTGATCACTTTTGTATGCAGACCATACAACTACAGAGAATGAAATGTACCATTCTCTCATCATAGTTGTTGAGCCATTAATTCTGATAATCCAAAATAAAGCTTGAAATAATTGCAGAAGTGTGAAAATTGATTTTAATAGCTAATTTTAAAGCTGAATTCAATATACTTTGTTCATTAGCATTTTTACTCATACACACTAGTAATTATAAATCTCAGATGCTGTTAATTTTAGTTGAAAACCAAAACTTCGTCGAAGTATCTCGTTCTTAGAAACAACCATTTAACGAGGAGGCTTGTGGTTATGTCATTCAGACCGTAAATCGAACTCCAGCCTTCTTATGATGCTGACAGCAATGTGGCATAGACAGTGCAGACAAAG